TCAGGCTAAAACACTCCACGCAGTCAGCATTATCAGAACACAACGCCGAAATAGAACATCAAATACTGTTTGACAAAACGATCACGATAGCTAACATTACCTCATACTTTCCAAGAAAATATAGAGAAGCTATAGAGATATCAAAACACCTTAACAATCTAAATAGAAATAATGGCTACAACATAAATAAAATATGGAAAATCATTCTCCCGGTTATTGAAGATCGACTAATTTTCTCCATCTCCCCCCTCCCCTCTTCTATTTCCCTATCCACTCCAACAAGTAGCATTTAAAAAATGACCTTTTTGCTTCAACGTTGAATAACTTGAAAAAAAATCATATATATAATACATCATACGGAGCGTAAAAAAGCAAATTATAGATAAAGATTCGCTCTTTCGAATGATGTAAATCGTATTTGTGTACAATTTTTAATCTACTCCGTGGAATTCCGCAAATTTCTTGAAAAATTTTGAGATTTGATATATCTTCATTTATATTTGTGTAACTTCATAAAATCTCCATGAGACCGTTTTTTAAAGAGGTTTAAAAAGTAAAGGTTTCAACCTGTAAAATGCTTTTTTAAACATCCCGATGCGACAATTTTTTTGACGAAGTTATTCTATCTTGAAATTTGCCTATTTTTGCAGAGTGAAACAGGTGTTGCGTTAATTTTGGCTAATGTATTAGGTGTTGGAATTAATTCGTAGCGTTTTTTAAATGAAAGAATGTTATTTATTTCACATGAGCATTAAAAAATACATTAATGATTAAGTGTTTCCAGGTATGTTTTTACCGGTTTTGCAACGTGTGGGCGAGCATTGTCGTGCAGCAAGATGACTTTATCGTGTCTTTCGAAGTATTCCGACCGTTTTTGCTTCAATGCACGGCTCAAGCGCATCAGTTGCCGTCGGTAGAGATCTCCAGTAACGGTTTCATGCGGTTTTAGCAGTTCGTAGTATATGACACCCTTCTGATCCCACCAAATACAGAGCAGGAGCTTTGAGCCATGGATATTGGGCTTTGCCACTGATGTTGATGGTTCGCCGGGCTTAACCCATGACTTTCTGCGCTTTGGATTGTCATAATGGATCCACTTTTCGTCACCGGTAACAATCCGATGCAAAAAACCTTTTCTTTTCTGCCGTTGAAGCAGCAGTTCGCACGTGAGAAAACGTCTCTCAATATCCCTTGGTTTCAATTCATATGGGACCCAATGTCCTTCCTTCTGGATCATGCCCAAACTTTTAAGACGTTTTCCTATTGTTGAGAAGTCAACTTCCAATGACGTAGATAATTCTTTAAGTGTTTGACATGAGTTTTCATTGAGCAGTGCCTGCAAATCGTTATCTTCAAATTTTTTCGGCTGACCAGGTCGCTCCTTGTCATCCAAGTCGAAATCACCAGCTTTAAAACGTGCAAACCACTTCCTACACGTTTGCTCAGCCAGAGCATGTTCACTATACACATCCACTAAAATACGATGAGCTTCAGCTGCACTTTTGTTCATATTAAAGTAATGAAGCAAAACTCTCCGCAAAAACACTTTATCTGGCACAAATTTTGACATATTCAATGAATTATACAGTATTGTTATTTATGATTTCAAGAAAGGTTATGTACGGCAAATGACGTCCTATGATAGATGTTTACAATGTATACAGAACTATAGGTAACAACGAAATAGTGTACTGCTTATGCCATCTCTTGTAAAACGCTACGAATTAATTCCAACACCTAATATATTTTACGTTACATACACTATAGATTTTCAGACATAAATGCGCATATTTATCTCTATTATATAGGTTTATTGTAATTGGTCTTTGTTGTGATCGATTCGTTTACAGTTTAAATTTTAAACTGCTTAAATATTATTTATATAAACGTTCCGAGTTAAAGGTTATACCGCACACAAAATTCCGTAACAGTGACCAGTAAAATGTACACTTAAACCAGTGAGCCAATCAGAATATTACTTTAGGTCTATGTATCTAATGGAAATGGAAATAACAATAAACTTATCCATAATCTTGCAATAAGGCGAGTTTCAACCGGTTGAAACTCGTCTTATTGCGAGGAATTTTGTATACGGTAGTACTAAGGCCTTGGCATATACCTTCCGTAATCATAAGATGTATCGTAAGAATTCAATCAGCCAATTAGAATTAAAAGTTCAAAAGAATTCTCGACTTTGATTGTTCTTATGATTAATTATGGTACTATTATGGAAGGTATATGTTTTTACGCATGAATAAGCGCATGATGCATTGTTTGTCTTTGTTGTTTACCAATTAATAAAGAAGGATAAAACGTTATATTATGTGCTTCATGCGTAATTCGGAACGCACCCTAAAGTCTGGCACACACGAAATGCATAAGCATAACATAAGACCGCTGGATCATTGAGCATCTTATGTAAATCAATATGGCGACATTATGCTGGATGCTTATTGATTCAGTGGTTTTATATTATGTTTATGCTCTGTTACGTATTTCATGTGTGAGGGCTATAAATCTAAACCGAAGAGCACAGACTTTTGCATAACACATAACATATAAGGCATAAGAAATTCAATTAATCAGAGTTTTTTATTTCATGGAAAGGAAGGAAACGAAGGACTTTGATTGGTATATTTTCTTATGCAATACGTGTTATGCATTATGTAAAAGTCTGTGCTCCCTGCTTAAGGATATATTCACACAAATTTACATAGCCACAATCGCATTTCTCCTATAAAGATGCACGTAAAATGTAATTGGATAATTTTCTTTATGTACGTTTATGCGGCTATGTAAGTTTACAAACTATTGGAACTTTCTAAATTCGGACATTCTTTTCAAACTATATTTCATATACGAATGTACATCACGTAAAATCTTTATGACTTTTAGATAATTCCATGCAAACATATCATGCACATAAAGCTAACGAATGACAGGTATAATACATTTTAATACAAATAGTCCAGATTTATTAGTTAACATAGTTTTTACAGAATGATGCTCACCCATCATTGTATTAGCTCTGTCAGTCCCAAAGCCTATCAGATTTTTCTTAAATGGTACTTCAAACTTATTAAAAAAAGTAATAATAACGTTGTATAGTGCTGCTGCAGAACCATCTGCAATGGGTAGCAGAGTTACAAATGTACCATTTATTTTAAAATTTTAAGAAGATCTACAGACAGAATTCAATCACTTGAAATTAGCCTTACAAAAAAACGGACATGACAAAAAGACATAATCAAAACAATCAATAAACATGCAAATAAGACAACGATCTCTGATACACAATCAGCTGAAAGGATCCTATCCATTCTCTTATATCAAAGGAACAACAGATCGTACTGGCAGGATGTTAAACATACACAATATGCAAACTATTTTTAAATCACCCAAAAGGATAAGACAAATCCTACGAAATCCTAAAGATCAGGACTCCGCAGGAGTATACAAAATACTTTGTTCCTGCGGGCAAGTATACATTGGAGAAACTGGGAGAATGGTCAACCTACGGATAAAAGAACACCAACGTGATGTCAGGCTAAAATACATCACGCATTCAGCATTATCACAACATCGAAACAGGATATCAAATACTGTTTGACAAAACGATCACAATAGCCAACATTACATCATATTGTACTTTCCAAAAAAGTATAGAGAAGCCATAGAGATACAAAACCATACACCCTAACTGTTTGAGATCGGTAATTCGAAAGAAAAGCAAGAATTCTTTCAATCGACCGACATTAATTGTCATTGAACGCATGCATAAATTGAGCTCGTGATTTCATCTCAAGCATGATCTTAATCTTCGTTAAAATCATCGATTCGTCGTTCTTTGTTCTTTTTAAAAACAATTCGTTACACGCAAACAAGTTGTCGTTACCGGCAACGGACAATCGAAAGTTCTAGAACGATTCAATTCGCGCACGCGAGCGCCGCGCTCCGACGAATACGTCACGCGCTGTCACCAATCCCACGCACGGATTTTCTGTCGCGCATGACTGTTACGTTGAACGTCGTTAGAAAAGAATCCAAAGCGCCAATCAATTTTGTACACCTAATGCCACGTAATAATTACGATTGTGGCAAATTTTTATTGGATTTTTCCCAAAAAAGAAAGCTCAGGCCGAAAGCAATAAATGCTTCGATCTCGCCGTCCTCCTTCTTACTTGTAAAAGTTCTTAGAGTCTAACAGTTCTTAGAGTTCTTAGAATCATAATCTCGCTTCGTAAAATCGCCGTGCTAACCGTTTAGTGAAATCGCTATAAACGAATCTTTCGAGAAGTGCCGAGAAAATCGCCGAGATTTTCCATTACCGCGATTCCAAAAATATCATTTGGAAAAGGTAACCGCATTTAATATTCTGTTAATCTAATATTTAATTAATTATATTTTTTGACGTTGTAACTGAGCATATTAAAGAAAATTCTTTTGTTAAATTACAAAGAAACGGAGTTCTCTTACTGTCGTGCATCATATCAACCTTGTGCTGTTTTCTTACTCGAATCTTTCCGCGCGGTGTGCTCTCGCACACTAACAATCTAAATAGAGAACATGACTACAACATAAATAAAATATGGAAAGCCATTCTCTCGGTTATTGAAGACTGACCGATTTCCCCCACCTCCTCTCACAATTCTCTTCTTTCCCCTCACCACTCAAGTAGCGTAATATAAAAAGGAACGACCCGGAGGAATAGCTCAGTATCAGACTGCTCCTCGCCCTGATGAAGTCGATTGCAAGATTCATGAAACGTTGGCATTCCAAGAATGGAACACGGAGGAACCCCGCGAAACGCATAATCTTAATACAGAAAGCATCCGTGGAAGAATATTATCAAATATTATAAGTATTATTAAAATGTGTGCCAAATTTCAAAGTGATTAGTATAATAGTTTTTGAATGAGATTTCCCGCCAATTTTGGAAAAAAAGTTTTGAGAAAAGTAAGTTTAAAGTTTTGAGTAGAAAGGTAATATTTTCAACTTACCGACTAGTCAGCAATCTCACGCCAAAGCAATAGTCCTTCTGTTTCTTCATAAAATTCATTTTGCTGCAAAAGTTGTTCCTTTCGGAGAGTTCCTGTACGAACCTCTTTAGTGCTATCCAAACTGCGCCGTTCTTGCCTGTTTTTGTAGCAGTGTACATATGTTCTATAATGTTGTACGAACTTTCAGATAATCCGTCACAAATATTCATGAGATTACAGAATAAATTAATCCTTTCCCTGCCAACACCTAAGAGACGCATAATAAATACGATTCTATGATTCAATTCATATCCAGTATTGATCAACGGAATTTATACTTCAGCAACCACAACGGCACATCACAAGCTTGAATTCAAGGCCTCGATTTCCAGTTTCCTCAAACTTCAATTTTTTTTTACACTCAGAACAAATTATGAGATCTGAGAGAGTCGTGAATACAATAAAAAATTCAATCACTCTGTAAGCGTGTAAAAGATTCCAAACGATTGGTACTAGTGAGTTTTTTGCACTTGCACTTGCTTCAACTATTTCGCCTTGCTTATTCGTGAATTGATTATCGTGGAAATATCTTTTATGTGGTTTCGATGTTCGGGAAGATATTTCTTCCTTTAAGATATGAATGCCAAATAAATTGTCAAAAATGATCTGTACACACCGAATTCTGAGACTAAATTGATTACACTGGCTTGAAACGCTCGTTTGTAAAGGCAATGAAAGTATTTTTCCTGTTATGTATAAAGGTCTTTTTACTACATATACCCTTGCCAGAACATTTGTTCTAATCGAAATAACAGTTCAAAGATTTAATAAGAGGAGATTACAAAGAACAGGTCTCCCTACTCCGAACGCCCGAATATACTTGTAGCGCGCTGTGGGCGCTACAAGAGCGAAGATGAGTCACAAACTCTAACTTTGAAAATACTTGGAATTTTGCTCTAAAATTTCGAGTACATATTTTTAAGATATGGTACTTTCACTTTATGAAATAAAAAAATTTCACATTTTTTGAAGGTTCTAAATGAAATTTCCCCCCTTAAACAAGGATAAATAATGCATCATCCGCTTCATGTATGAAATAGAATGCAGCCTGTATATAATATCGCTGCTGGATACCATGACGAGAACAATAGTGCTTTCCATTTACACCGATTCTCAGATAATTCTCACGTGTGACATCATAACTCAGTTGAATGCGCGTTCCTTTTACAATATATTTTGAGCGAGAATTTAATTGAGTTTTTGCTTATAATCTGCACGAGATCGAGACCGCTTTAGTGAGTCTCGTAAATTCACTTTAAAAGTCAGGTTCAAACTTGTGTTGTCTGTGATAACTTTTTACCAAACTAAGCAAATAATGACATCATTAATCTGAGTATGAAATACTCAGACTCAGTTTCACTTGTGTCAAATGGAAAGCAACTAATACTGCGCATACGAAATTTTATATTTTTTAAAAATAAAACATCAACAATGCCACATTATGTTGCAATCGGCTGTAGCAATAAAAGTTACAAAAAAAATTTTCTGTAGAGCAAATCAATAAGTTTTTAGAAAAACATAGTAAAACACATTTTTTTTGATCGATTTATTTTTATTTCTCAACATAGTCTCCTTTCAACTCGATACACTTGATCCAATGATTCTCCAACTTTATCAAGTCGTTCGAATAATATGATTTGTCCAATCCTTCAAAATAAGCCTCTGTTTCGGCGATGAGCTGCTCTCTGATGGTAAATCTCTTTCTTCCGAATCATTTCTTCAGGTTTGGAAACAGGAAATAGTCGCAGGGGGCTAAATCTAGCGAATATCTGGATGGGAAAACAATTTGTAGCGGAATTCGTTGAATTTGGCCATCGGTGACGGGCATGTGTGGACGTGCATTAACTTGATGAAAGAGCACTTTCTTCTTCTCCAAATAGGGATGTTTTTTCTTTAAAATATTGTTAAAACGGTAATAAGGCTGCATAGTAATCGCCATTGATCGTTTGCTTCAACGGAAGGTAATCGATATGAATTATACCGCATGCATCCCAAAAAACTGTGGTCATCACTTTTTCGGCCGACTTCACGATCTTCACCTTCTTCGGAGCTGGTTCACTCGGTGAAGTCCATTGTTTTGATTGTTCCTTCGTCTCGGATGTGAAGTAATGGATCCATGTTTTGTCTACAGTAATGAATCGACGCAGAAATTCCTCTGGATTACGTTGAAACCAATATCTTCAAACATTGTTTTGAAATCGTCACACGATCGCGCTTATGGTCCACAATGAGCAAACGCAGCACCCATCTTGCCGATAGCTTTTTCATACCCAATTGTTCGTGCAAAATTGAAATTACTGTGCCTTGTGATATTCCTGTGGCTTCAACAAGCTCGCGCACTTTCACTCCTCGATCAGTCAAACAATATCATGGACTTTATCGGTGATTTCTGGTATAGCAGCCTCAATTGGACGTCCCGTACGAGGTGCATTACATGTGGATGTACGATCACGTTTAAATTCATTCACCCAATTGTATACAGTCGCAAACGCTGCTATGAACATTATTCAATTCGGCTTTGATTTCTTTCGGCGTTAAACCTTTCATATGTAGATGTTTGATTACTGCACGAAACTTATTTTTTCCATTTTGTAAAAAATACAAAGGTTATTCGTTTTAATCGTCTACAGAAATGAAACCACGCGATGAAGTCCGCGCAAAATTGGACAGTAATCAGAAAGATGCTACTTGTCAAAAAGTAATGTGACATGACACTGTGAGTGCCCTCTGACAGATTTTCTTATTGACTTGCCCGTATAATTTATATTAATAATGTTTAACATGATTTTGGATTTTATTAGGATTTTTATGCGACCTTAACTGTTACTACTTGCATTTACCAGTTCTTTGTAACATTAATTATGACCTTGTATACAGGTCAAAATGTTTGTTCAATTATGTGAAATTTAATTTTATACAGGGTGGGCCATCTATTGGTACGTTTTTAAAAATGCGATCAAATGAGCATACATTGATATTTTTTATTAATTTTTTTTTT